GGATGTAGAAACTTTCACTCTTGTTTTACGAGGCAACACAATCCCAGGGACAGTGCTGCCTGTCACCCCAAAGCAGCTGGCTGTGGCCTGTGGTGGGTGCTTTCTTGGCATGGTGGGCCTGTGATGCTGCCAGTGGGGGCTTTCAGTTCTGCAGTGAGGCTCAAGGCAGCTGTAAGTCCAGCAGGGGAGGGTCTCTCCTGTTTCATGGGGCCACAAGAAGCGCTAGGGAGGCCTGGCTTGCCTGCAGGGAAACCTTACTTCTCTGCATGGTGGATCTTCCCTAGGCACAGTGCAGTGGCCTGTCAGCTCCCTGGTTATCTCTGTGACTCCAAAGCATGCTGAGGTGGGAGTGAGCTCTGGGTCTGGACTCCGTAGGAGCTGGGTTTGCTGAACCTTTTGGACTCTGAGGATGGTTCAATCCCAAGGAGGCAATGCTTCTGATAGTTTATCTCTGCCTCCTGGCACAGAGCTGGCCCATAGTAGGGCCTCTCTACATACTTGCTGACCACTTTTCCTGCTGTACCCTTTTGTCAGGGTGAAAGTGCAAGCCCCAGGACCTCAGACCTTATTGGAAGATGAGGTCTTCAAAGAGGTGATCAAATTAAGATGCAGTCACTAGAGTGAGTTTTAATTCCATCTGGTTCATATGAAGAGGAACTCAGGACACAGACAGATAGACGCACAGAAGGATGACCACATGAGGCCATAGGGGGAAGACAGTGCGTGTCCACACTTCAGTCTTGGACTTGCTAGCCCCACTACGGTGAGGAAAAACTGTGTTGTTAGAACTGCTCAGTCTGTGGTACTTTGCATCCCTAGCAAACCAGTACCAGCTCCTAACACATTCACTAAGCATGCAGTCACATGCCGGGATGTTCTAGAAGATCTAAAGACAAAAGTTAGAGCAGCACAGGAAAAGAGGAACAGGAATGGGCCTGTCTTTCTTCTTCATTTTGTCATCCAGGCCCCTCCCTGCTCAGCCTTTCCTCACCTCCACCCCCTGCAGAAAGCAGAAACTTGGGAGGAAATGAAACCCAGGGAGGGCTCCCAGCAGATGCCGCCCTACCAAAATGCTGGAATAGGATGAAAACCCTTTAACACGGAATCACACGTGCTGTTTTCTTCTGGCTGCTCCCTTATCCCCAGTCCTACTTAGCTCATCTGAGTGTGTGCACATGGCCAGAAGACGCACATGGCAGCAAATGTGTGCATCTTGGGAAGACAGGAAATGGGTCCCTGCTGTTGCTAACACTCTGATTGTGTACTGGTTCCCAGGCCAGCTTTATGGAGCAGGGTGACTGGTCAGGGACACAATAAAATGATTCTCTGCATCATGAATAATGTCCCTCGCTGCCCTTTGTGTCTAAAGATGAGGCCAATGTCATGTTTCCACACAGCTGCTACGAGAGTGTTGTTCTTTGATTTATGGCCATGGTTGATAGCTCTGTGCTTTGATCTCTGTCTGCAGGAATAGTGAGCTCATTTCATCATGGAACCATCTTGAGATCTCTGGGAACATTCTGAAACCTGTCCGGCCTTACCAGGGATGGTGGCACATGCCTGTAATCCCAGCAATCTGAGAGGCTGAAACCAGAGGATCAAAAGTTCCCAGTCTGGGCAATTCAGCTACTTAGCAAGATCCTGTTGCAAAATAAGAAATAAAAAAGGACTTGGGATATATAATTCAGCGTAAAACTCTAGGGTTCAATCCTGAGTATGACAAACAGACAAAAAAACCAAACCAAATCTTTAAGTAAGAAGCCATGTCAATATGAGAATTTTACCCAGCATGGAAGACTGTATTTTTCATTTTTCTGTGGTATCTACCATCTTGGATCAGAGACACTTTATAACATACAGCTCAATAACAATTCTGTTCCTTTATAGGATTCTTTTGCAATGCTAGCTTAGCTCATTGATTTTAAAGGGAACTGGGATTCCAGGAGTTCAGTGTTGACCAATTAGTCCTCATGTTGCATAGTTCTGGGTCCCCAAAGGACTTTGGCCAATATGTGCCTCACAGTGAGGCTATAATTGGCTTTCGAGTGCACACCCGGGTTTGCACAGAGCAGTCACTCACTCTCATATTGACGGTGGTGTCCCTGAAGTCTAGTGGAATTTCTTCATTTAATATTGATGTTACAGAAGCTTCCCTTTCTTGTCTACATACTAGCCAATACATACATTTCAGGGATGAATTGAGGGTCAGCGCAGCAAAGGCATCACAAAGCCACCAAGTACTTGGGCTCTGCGGCCCCACTTCCTCCTACAGTGTTCTCCTCTGCGGGCTCCAATGAAGCCCTTACTTTCTGCTCCTGTTCATTGCCTAGCAGAGTCCCCTTGCTTGATAAGACCCCAGCTTGCTCTTCTCCTGAGGGTAGCTACATTTTAGACCAGTAACTCCTAAATACTCTGAGTTTTTGCTCTTTCTTTCTTTCTTTCTTTCTTTTTCTTTCATTGAATCCACAGCCTTCACACTGAGCTACCCCATCAGCACTGTTCTCCCTTTACATTTTTAGACAGTCTTTCTGAGTTGCTAAGTTGCCCAGGCTGACCTTGAACTTGCCATCCTCAGCCTTCCAGTGTGCTAGGATTATAGGTATAGGCTACTATACCTGGCCATACCTGAGTTCTCAAAATCCATGGAAACCATTCCATAGTACTCAAAGGAAGCTCGAGGTTTGCACCTGGACTGTTTATAGATAGTCAGGTCCACTCCACTTACTCAGATACTAAGCTGTGAGGTCTGTCTGGCTCCAGAGCCCCCTTCCTTGATGTGCATGTGTACCCACATGCCTGAGGGGTACATATCCACTATACAGGTTCATATGTGACACAGGAACTGCTCTAGCTAAGGGTCCACTACTTATTATGAATCTTGCTACAAGTGGAGATGAATGTGGACTCTTGGTGCCATGTCTGTCACCTTTCAGTCCCAAAACTAATTTCACTAGGAAACCAAGAGAAAAGCCAGCATGACTCTACAGCTTTCAACCCCCTACACTCTACTCCTGTGCTTCCATTTCATAATTGTTGCATCCAGAGGACTGAACAGAACCCACAACTATGCACATACTTTTTAGTGACCTATGGCTTCCAGTTTGCTCCAGCCAATGGAAACTCAGAGAAGTGACCCTCATACAAAAGGTTATATTTGGCATGACTCATCCTGGGAGACATTCAGCCGACTTGGCCGGCATTGTTAAGTGCCTGGTTCCTGTAAATATTGACTGTTGGAAACCATCCTAAGAGCTACCAAGCAATGCTCTGGAAGGTAGTGTATATGACCATGACCAGTGATTAGGCAATGTTCATCACTAGCTAAGATCCAGCCCTGATAAATATCCCATTATCTTGCTTCCTCCTTGGGCTCATTTAGCTGTGTGACTCATGGTTGATGTATTAAGGGGTCTGATTCAGCAAGGAAAGTTTGGTCTGCTGAAACAGAGATCAGTATCCAGGGTGGCTGCAGTTTCCAGGATCCTGACTTCTTAGCAAGAGTGGCTTTGCCAAGAAAGAAAAGCAATGTGAGTTTTCACTCAGAAACAATAGGAGGAGGAGGGGTCAGGGCACAGGATTTGCTTACTACTCAGAGCCTTTGTGTGAAAACCCACTTATTCCTTAGAATCATTTATTACAGTTCATCTGCAGGCACCATTGTGTCAACTGGATACAATTTTTCTCATCAGCCATTTTGGTGTGAGCTCCACCTCAGAGAAGGAACCGAACAATCTCTGTCCCTGCAGAAACTGGCTTTCACCTTCCCTTCCTTATCACTGCAAATAGATTTGTCATTACCTAAATGTCTGTAATGCTTTCTGATGGGCTGGCTTTCTTCCTGTTGGAACTTCCCACGTGAATCGCAGCCCACCTGAATGGCTGAATGTTGTTCTTTTTTCTACATTTACTTCAGGCCAAGGGTCCATCCTACCAAATCAGACATGAGTTTTTCAGTAGTAGAAATTTGAACTTGGGTCTTTGATAGACTGGAGTGCCCACCAATGTTATATCCTGGAACAAGGAGGGTGAGTGTGAACACAAATGCATACACATGCACACATACACACGCATAAACATACATGCACATACACACACTGCTGCAGCTCTCTGCAGTCCTCTGGCATTTGCTCTGTGCTTCCTACCACAGGGTCTGAGCTCCGCTGATGCCAACCTGCTTCTCACTGCTATGAGGTGTCTCTGTGACTTTGGGCATGTTACTTAACTTCTCTGAGGCTCAGACTTTCTTTGTAAAGTGGGAACCATAATACCTCACAGGCCAGTGCCTGTACAACTAATTATAAAATCTCAGTAAATTTAGTTGTTTCCCTTAGCAGAAAGCTAAGGTGAACATTGTTGTTGTCAATGATAAAATGGGTATTTTTAATCATGATTAAGGGCCTGCTATAAGCCAGAAGCTTCACTCATCCATTGTACCAGTCCATCAAGGAGGGACTACTAGCCTCATCTCACACGGGATGAACCCAGAGCTAAACTCCAGCTAGCCAAGATTAGAATCCGGCAGTTCTGCTTTAGGAAGCATGGGCTGGCCAGCACCTGTGCTGCTGGTGAGGAACACTGGAGGTGATGGTCCTGTGTGTTTCGTGGAGGCCGGCAACTTACTGCATCAGACGACGATGAGGCCATCTGTTCCATCTTCATCCCCATTGCTCAAGTACAGACTGGTCCTTGTGCTGTTGATGAAACAGCACCTCAGGGCCTGGCTCACCACTTGCCTGGGGCTGAGTGTCCTGTTCCCTTGTCCAGGCAGTTGTACAACTACTGGGCAGCTCCATGGTGTTCCCTAGCCTAAGGTACTGCTGTTGAGACGTCAGTGGGTGGATGAGCGGAATCCTGCCTGTTGGGGAGTCTGGAGAAAGTCTAGGGGTGTCTGTTGGGAATGAGAAGCCAGGAGCTCCCTCTGCCCTGTGACAGGGGTGGGGCAGTTGTTGCTCAGCTCCCTGCAAGTAGCCCCACTCACCCCACCCACTCTCCCAGGAAAACATCTTGCATGAGACACAAAGTTAAACTTTCTGGCCTGCTGGCGGGAGACGTTCCATGCATATGAGGCGAGTCAGGATGTTCCATGGCACATTTGGAAAGAAGAAGAGGGCTTCAGTAGAGACAAGGTAGAGCTGGAAGGAAGACAACTGCCTGTAAGTGGTCCAAATGGGTAAATGTGTTCCCAGGAGAGAAGTGGGAAGGAGAGCCTGCTCCTGCTGCAGGCAGAGAATTGCCAGGGTGGAAACCTCGGGGGTGACATTTTGCTCCTCTCAGAGGTGACAGAAGTTCCAAGCTGCCTAGCAGCAGCCTGCCTGCTGACCTGGATCCCTTTGTGTCCCCAAGCCCTGACATATGCTTTCCAAGGACCCAAGGGTTCTCAGTGAGGCTGGACTGGGCAGCACAGGTAAGGAGCATGCAGGAAGCCCTTGGTTGCTGGTTCTCCCTGCCCAGTTTCCTCTCTGGGCCTCCATTTCCAGGGCAGGAAACAGGAAGCAGCAGATGGGGCAGACTCACCGTGCTGGAAGGGACTAGAGCTCTGCCTCCCCAAACCCCTCAGTCTCTGCAGAGGGACTCTCCAGGAGAACAGTTGTCTCCTCTCACCAGTGGAGGCTAAAAGGACATTGGAAGTAAGACTGAGGCAGGCAGGATGGTAAAACAATCTGCCGGTGCCAGCTTGGAAGACGTACAAGGGGTGTACTTGGCTGGATGCATCTGTTTCTAGCTTCCTCAGTCCTTTAGATCTGAATTCTCATTCTCCACCGAGTCCCACCTTTAAACCAATGCAGCCAGTGTGTGTGAGATCCTGACGTGTGGTACTGGGTGCACTCCCTGCATGCTATCACTAGCAGCTGTCACGTCTATCTCTAGGATTCTGTTTATACCTGGGAAGTTCATCCTCCTCCAACTTGATCCAATACACACTCTCTGCCCTGCAGAAAATTTGGGGCCTTCATTGTTTTCTTAGTTTTCTAGAACAATTAGTTCCACTGGTCATTCATCCACTCACCCAACATCCTTGTGCTGAGCCTGAGATCTTCCCAAAGCACTGTTCTGTTACCTGCTTGTGACATTTCCAGATGCCCTTACACAGTATTATTTTCAGGTTTCATGTCCAATTTCTGAGCAGATCCATGTGAGCTTGCTCCATTTTCCTGTGAATTTATCTTTTCCTTGTTCGTGTGCCTCCCCCGTGGACCTTATGCCTGCGGAGAGCTCCCTGTTCTGAGGACCTCTGATGCCCTCGCTGTGTGGGCCAGAGGAGGGAAGAGGAATGAGGCAGCATATCCTTCAGAGACAGAATCATGGGGTCAGTGCATATTCCCAGGCCTGCTCCCAGCTCTGCCCTGCCTAGATCTAGTTTGCAGCTGGGATTGCAGGACTCCTGGAGTCTGGATAGATTTCTGCTTTCCAATGCTGCCTGCACAAAGCACAGCAGAGGCACGTTACTTCTGAAACCGCACAGCCTTGTTGAGGCACCGTGGTAATTCAAAACCCAGAAAGAAGTTGCCCACTCCACCAATCCATGCTACATGACTCCCATTGGACTCCCAGAGTCCAGGCTGTCCCTGTCAAAACAGTGGGGCCAGGAAGAAAAAAGATTCAATGGGAAACAACCTAGCTACGAGTGCTCACTTAGCCATGGAATCCTTACTCTAGATAGTTCTGTGCTATCACAGGGCCTCTGTTCCTGTCTTTGATGAGTGGAGAAAAACAGCTCTGGTAGAAGAGGCCAAGGAGCCAGGATAAAGCCTGGCCCAGCAGCCTGGGCTGGGTGCCAGGATGAGTGGCTGTGGAGCAAGGCGCATGCTCTCCAGGATACTATTTCAGGCCAGCTGGAGGCCAGTATGTGTTCTGTGCCACAGGAAGAATGTTCCCTCAGACAGAACAGCTAATCAGGCCAGACGAGGGAGTAATGTGAGGCCAGCAGCAGTTACTGCTGGCTTCCAGCAGGCTGCTGCCTCTTCCTGCACTGAGTCACATGTATTTTTGTCTTGTAGAGTCGTCCACCTCCCACAATAGCCTTCATCTCTGCAAACGTGGGATTCTTCTGAGACTGTGAGCTGTGTTGCAAAACTTGGAGCTGTTTCCTAGGGCTGCCCTGTGTCATCTGTCTCTTTGACATAAAGAGGCAAGCAGGAGGGAGGGGACACAGGAAAGGAAAGAAGAGGGCGGAGGAAAAGAAGGAAAAAGGGAGAAAGAGAAACATTTGCTGACGTCAAAGAAGGCCACATTCTACAGGATAACATTACTTGTACCTCAACCACCTACTCCTTCTAATTTAGTAGAAACCAAACAGCCTGTTTGGAAGCCTTTAGTCGCAGTCTTTTTTTTTTTTTTTTTTTTTTCTCTCTATTCTCCTTTGACCAAAAGGGCCATTAATCGTTGGAGTCTGAAAGCTACCTGATTCCCTGAAACAGAGGGGATTTCCATGAGTCATAACTCAGGCCCTGCTTGTGCAGGGCTCTGCAGCTACAGTAAATTGATCCAGCTGCTTGCAGAACTGATCGAAAAGGCCCCGGGGAGAGGTCCGCTCTGCAGCTGGGGCTGCTGCTGGGGTTGTCATGTGGTCGAGCTTGCTCAGGCTGGCCCCCAGTGTCCTCCTAATCCCCATGTGCCCCCCCTTTCCACACCTCCCTCCTCCTCAGGGCACTCCTTGTTCCCTTGAGAAGTACTGCCTTGCAGCCCAGCTGGCTTTGCAAGGTGAAGGCAATTCTGCTTGGCTGTGGGACCTCTTCCTTGGGAAATGCAAGACCCTGAGGATGAAGTCTTGTTTCCTGGCTCTCCCTAGGGCCTCTCCTTGGGCACATGTTAGATTATGCTTCCCAGAAACCTAACCTGTTTCTGTTGTCTGGACATCCAGGGCCTATTTACAAAATAAAATGGGAGCTGGCAACAGTAACCTGTAACCTGAGGCTACAGAAACACCAATCCACTACCCAGATGCTAGACTTCAGTCTGTTAGCTGGCCAAGGCCACACAAGTTAATTTTTATTCTAGTAAAAAATAATAAACACTGCATTAGCAACTAAATGTTTATCAATTTGCAGTTCATTTCCAGCCAGATCATTTCACTCCCCGCACATTTTTATGGCTAGCTGATGCACTGGAGTGTGCTTCATGAAACCATATGTGTCTGTTTAAGCCCTAGCCTCCGTAGCATTTATATGGCATTTTTTACCTTAATTGGATAATATTATTTGGCTACTTCAGTTATGTTACTCAAATATCATATTTTAATGATGAAGAAACTGCCGTAAAGGAAAGTTAAGTGACTTTCTGGGGGTCACCCAGCAGCTCAGGAGAGGTTCTAAGTGAGGAGCCATAAGCTTTTCTTTTGTTTTTGTACAAAGTACTCACCTGTGTGTGCCAAACCATGTGCCTGAGCAGGACGGAGTTTATTGTATTTCTTTTTCTCATTTTACGGTAAGTTATATTAGAGGAGGCGGTGAGGACAACTATGACACGGAGTAGGAGGCCGGAGGAGCTGGAGATACATAGTGGACAGGAGCAAGGAGAACACATGTGGGGGGAGCGGGCTCATGTGCACTCTGCTGCCCTGGCCCAGCCTTTCTGCAAATGTGCTGCTGAGTTTGTGTTTAGCAGGATTAGAGCCACCATTGCTGGCACCACCTATTGTTTATCATTAGACAGTTAGTGCCAGGAACACAATCTAGCCATGACAAAACGAAGCCATGGCTACAATCATGCGAATGCCCAAATTCCCCCAGCCTGCCTATTTCCCTTACCTGAAGTCTGTAATAGAAACCTTGAGATTGCCATATGGTACAGGCGGTCCAAGGGGGGAAAGACAGAGGAAAAGAGTTTATAAGGGCAGTAGGCAAAATAAGTAAGACCCATGTTTTGTCTTTATTTCTTTGAGAAAATTACCCACTTTCTTGAAGCTTCAGTTTTCTCTCCTGAAAAAATGAAGGATAATAAGGTGTCCATTACAAGGCTGCAGGCGCCTAAGGGTGCTTATTCTCAGGGCTTGGCATACAGGTTGGCATCTGGTGGACACTGGAGAAATGCTTGTGTTAGAAAAAGCAAGCTTGACTGTGGGATGAAGGTACCATATATGCAACCTCAAATATGAGAAAATGCCATGTTACCCAATGGGCAGCTTACAAAAGTTTTGTGTTTTTTTTTTTACTAGCTTAAGTACATACTTTTTTTTTTTTTTATTTGGTACCGGGGGATTGAACTCATGGCCCTGCCCTTGCAAGGCAGGTGCTTATGCCGCTGAGCTAAATCCCCAGCCCCACTTTTTTTTTAAATACATAACTTTTTAATGATGAAAGTGATATAGTCAGATTTCTCACTATAAAGTTTAATTTGCTGACTTAATCGTATGCATATTTATAATTAATACACAGATGTACTCATTTGAAAAATAATTAATTTTTGGTACTGGGAATTGAACTCAGTACCTTGTGCTTGACAGGCAGATACTGTGCCGCTGAGCTATATCCCTGGCTTTTATCTGGAAATATTTCTTTTGTTGTCCTCTTTCTTCAAGTCTTCATCTTTATGCCCGCTCCTTCCCAAATGACCTGACTCAGTCTTTGAAAACACATCTTGTTTCTGTTCAATGTTTTTGAGATTTAGTACTTTTAAAAACTATATATTGTGGTCACTGGAAATGTCACCTCAGGCCTCATAATGCCATTTGTGATCTCCACAAAGTTGGCTTCTTGTACTGCTTTTGAAACAAACCTTCATGAGATTGTGGCTCTACAAAGGAACATTCGTGTATTTTAAGGTCACATGCTGAGCTTCAAGGATGTGAAATGACATGAAGCCAGGGATTTTCTTCACAGGACTTTAGCAAAGAGAAAAAATGAAGAGCAAAAAGGGAAGGAAGGTCAAAAATTGGGTAATTATTGATCTTAATGATGAATAGGTGGAGATTTATACACTAATTTTGATAGGTCTAAAAGTTTCTATAATATAAACGAGCTTGGAAAGACTTAATGATATTATCTGGAGGTTGTGCCTTCGAGAACAGCTAGGAAAACTTTTACATTTATTTGCATTAAACAAAACAAAACAAAAAGCTATTCTTCCAGGTAAACTCTATAAACATCCTAGAGTAGCACTGATTGAATTCCTTTTAGTGGTATTTTGTTCTAAATAAAGACATTGAGAAAGCACCCTATAACATAAGGAGCTTCTCAGGGACACAAACACAAGGCAAAATCTTAGATCCATCCATACATCCTGTTTTCCTCCATGCTTTGCTGGTCTGAGTTGATAGGCTTGGAAATAACCCCAGAGCAGAGCTTCCACAGGCCTGGGAGGACCCACCGCAGAGCCTTTTTCAAGCACCCGTCACCCATGCCTTACCAACAGTGGAGTTGGAAAGCCTCAGACAGCAGAGATACAGCTCTCAGATCTGGTGGCACCAGTATGGGTATGTGGCATCTGTCGTGGGACTGAAGGGGAAATTCAACATTTTCTTTTTTAGACAATGTGTATCCCCTGAAAAGAGACAAAAACTATGGTCTACATAGCCCAAGCAAGAGGGGACTCAGCATTTGTCAGCAAACACAGTCAAAGTCAGGAAAGAAGGCACAAGCTAAGAGCCCTCGTTAACAGTAAAGGATTGAAATCAGTTCCACATTGACTTTATGTCTCCCTGGCTTCTCCAAAATTAGGGAAAGGAACTATTATTTTTAAAACATTGTGGAAGAGTAGAATGCTCTCCATGCAAACAACAGATCATATACCAATGAGACTATGATTAAAAATATTACTGGAGCCTGGGGGATGTAGTTTAGTGATAGAGGGCTTGCCTACCATGTGCGAAGCTCTGGGTTTGAACCTCTATACTGAAAAACAAAACAGCCCGGGTCTGTGTGGGAAGTCTGTGATTTTCTGAAATTCTTTTTAAAAATTTTTTTATTTTTGTCTTTTCCCCCAAGAATGTGCTATGCTAGGTCACAGTAGGCTAGCCATAATCATGGAGAGACTGACTTCTGAAGCTTAATGGTGTGGCTTGATTCATACTTGACATTTTATAAGAAAGAGAATTGGAGCTGTTTTGAAAAAACCCTCCTTCCAACATGAAATCACAACCCAGTGGTTTCAGAGTACTTATCTTAACATTTCAGTGCAGGCAGATTTATTGGAATACCAAAAAAGAAAAGAAGATAAACAAAATACCCGCGTGCTCAAACTGAGAACGTGATCTTTTTCAGAAGATGCTTTTTTTTTTTTTTGAATGACCTAAGTGTTGATTCTAACCCCAAAAGACCAAAGTGTGAGGTTAGATAAGTGTCTGCGAGATTCATTATTGCTAGGTGGATACTGTGAAGTGGGCTGAGAGGTCACTGGCTGAGGCTGCAGAGTAAAGTTCACTCATTGTTTATCCTTGCTCTGATTGGGCGATTACTGAAAACAAAATATGAATTACCTTCCGGAAGCCCTCTGTTGACTTCAGGTCAACTCTGTGAAGGAGGGTATAGCACCCTCCAGTTAAGGAGCACATGATGAAGTCTACAGGCAAGGTTTGAGCAATGCCAAGTGGCCACTGGCCAGGGTTGAAGTTACCCCATAAGATGGTTATCAAATGCAGTTACTGGGTCTGGCATATAACTTTGGAGTTGCTGAGCTGAGTAGGAAAGACAGACATTGGCGAGTTCATGTCATCATTTCTTTAATGCACTCTTTCATGTTAATCTTTCTAGTTGTTCAAGTCTGACTTGCGCTGAGGATTTAGCCTGGCCAGTTCACACCTTCCACCCGTGCCTCCATAAAATCCTCTACCTGTGCTTTTCTACATTGCTTTTTCAGTAACTTGGATGGCAACTCCATAGATACTGTGGGATGTTTTGTAGTTATACTTAAAAATTTTCCAACAGATTTGCTGCACATCCTATGACAAATATAATAGCTTCCTGTGAATTGTGATGATTTCTTACACTACATTTGCAAACATATGTGTGCGTGTGCATGAAAAATAGCCTTGCTTTAAGGAAGGAAGCTGCCATAACCACAAAACTGTTTCTGGTGAATTCTCTTCGGTGTGGTCATCTGCCTTCAGGTCTGTGAATAACCGGCATTGGAAGGACATCTGGGACGGAAACTTGACTGTGAAGCTTAATGTATAACTAGTGTTTTTTTTTCCCCCTCCTGAGTCAGCAGTTGGCAACACGACACTGTAAATAAGGATTCCAGCGAGTAAATGGACGTCTCTCAGCCAGGGAGGGGAAGGCTGGGGCGAGCAGTTTTGAAACTCATGTCCACTCATGTCTGTGCTTGCTGCAAGGGATAAGATAATTTGAGAAACCTGGAAGTCCTGTGTATTCACAGGTTTCAAAAACAGGAAAGCCTCTTGTTTTAAAACCTTGCAGAGCAACATGTGGTCTTGAAAAAAGCTAGCCTGCGGTTTGGTGATCATACTTCCTTATTGATATAATGGCCTCCGACGCAAGGCCTCCTGGGAGTGCTGTGTGGACCGCAGGCCTGACAGTTACCCTGACAGGTTCTGAAACAGAGCTGGGGCTTTCTGGACAGATGAGAAGTCTAAAAATTTCCCTTTTCATTTCCTCTCTTGTGTGACTTTGTCATTAAAAAAAAAAAAAACCAGTAGTAGAAAAGGGAATTTTGTTCATGGTTTTAAGGAGTTGATCTTGACTGAGTAGCTTCCCTTCCACTCCCCCAAAATCCCACCCCAAAAACCCCAAGCTAAAAAAATATCATCTGTTCTTGCCTAGTTTTTTCAATGGGTCTATGTTTGGTTAATTTGCTTTTAGGTTGGACTCATCACAAGCAGATCTTTTAAATGGTAGGATTATAAAGAAATACTTCAGGATCTCTCCATATGGTCTGCATCTTGAGGCCTGTAAGTGTAGGTAAGGACTGTGTCCTTCTGGAATCTTCACCTGCCACAGTCACCTGGGAGGCTCTTTTGGGCACACGCTCCCAGGACCCATCCTTGAGTTCTTGAATAAGTGAAAACAGATGTCATCCTGGTGTGATATAGTTCGCTGACCGCAGCACAGAAAGTTCCACTGGCTGGAGGTGTGGGGGCTGTCTGAGCCCGGAAAACATCCTGTGTCTGACCTGAAACTCAGAAAAGCACTGGGCATTCCTGCCTGCCCTGACTAAATCTGGGTGCCAGGTAGCTCCTGGGCTGATCTGCCTCTGGCCTGTTGCTTCTCTTCTTTCCCTCCTAGAGAGAAAGAGGGCAAGAAGGTAGACACATGCCCGAAGTCCTCTTGATACCTATGCTTTACCACATATCCTAAGCATACATTTGCATACCTTTATGCATACATGTGTGCATTCTTTATGTTACTTGGCCTAGCACCAGAGTTTTGTTTTTCAGTGAATTCAAAGACAATAACATTTGAAAGCAGTGTATATTTCAGTCTTCTAGTAAATTACTAGGCAAACATAACCACTCTCACCAAAAGACTCCATCTTGCCAACTCCTCTGCATTGGCTCTGAGGATCTGCAACCTGAAACCAAGGGCCAGGATGATTGCACAGTAGAATTTGCTTCTCTCTCTCTCTCTCTCTCTCTCTCTCTCTCTCTCTCTCTCTCTGTCTCTCTCTCTCTGATAAGCCCAATAAATCTGCCCTAAACACGTCACTGAGATCACAAAGAAATGCAGTCCTGCCAAGTGTTAGCACTAATAAGATTTGCCAAAGTCTCAAGGTTACGGAGAAAGTAAGAACCACTCTCTGGGCGTGCATGTCTACTGTGTGTGTGCTCAATGCCACGTGTATATACTTTGCATGTACAGGAGGATTCCAGAGGACAGCACTCTCCAGTGGTTGTCTAGCAATGGTTGGATGCAGGCTTCCTACAAGTACTATAATCTGCAGATGCTCAGGTCCCTTGCATAAAATGGTAAAAATATTTATGACTTATTCAATCTCTGTATATTTTTTGTCATCTCTGACTTATTTATAAAACCCAATTCAGTGTACTGTGCATAGTTATTAGACAAACTCTTTAGGGAATAATGACAAGGAAAAAAGTCAGTGTATGTTCAGTATGAACATGATTTTCTCCCACTTGAAATTGGCTGAATCTATTCATGCAGGGTCCACCAATATGGAGAGTCAACTGTATGTGTGTGTGCTTAGGTGTCATGTATATGCACCAAGTCTGTGCATGAGTATCTAGTGTGTGTGTAAGAGACATACCTACATCTGTGAGTTTATGTGTCCACATGTATATGCATGGGAACATGTTCAGGTCAGGTAGTCGTGTGTGCCATGTGTACATGCTGTGTGCATGTACACTGTGTGTGTGTTCTGTGTCCTGTGCAAGCTTTCTGTTTGTGTATGAGATACTCATGTGTTTATCCTCTGTGTAGCCCAGCAGATGCCACAGGCTCATGGTGCTGGGGGCTATGTCTGTCTGGTGTGAGGCAGGCCTGCTCAAGAACAGGTACATCACTTAGGCGCAGTATTTTTCATGGGGTTTGCTGAGCTCAGACTCTGAGCAATGTACACTGTAGATGACCTTTGCCTTTGCATTTCTCTTCCTGCTGCCTTCCAAGAGGGTTCTTTTCAAGTTATCTTTTTTTCTTTAGCTTTAGGGAATAGGAGAGCATGTTGGAATTAAAATGGAGCAAGAATTTGATGCCATTCCTGTGTATACAGAAGACAGAAGAGAAGGGGAAAAAAGGTTAAGAAGCTGCAGGGAACCCAACAGGAAAACTAGTATGAGTTTGTATTTATGAAATAAAACTTCTGTCTTCCACACAGGCCTTGAAGTCTGCCCCAGTTTCCTGCCTCTAACCTCACTGTAAGTGCCGACCCACTTCTGGCTATTTTTATTTGTTTCTTTGAAAATGCTCACTGTGTGATTAGAGTTGACTCTTGTCAACTTTGTCCTCATTCCTCCTGGCCATCCAGGTCCCAGAGTGCAGTCATTCTCTCCTCACTCCCAATAATTATGGATGAGCACAGAGCCAAAGAATGTCAGCCTTTATTGATGATGTGACAAATAAGTGACCCATTTCCTCACAGTCAGAGACACCAGGACAAGCAGCAGCTACCTATGTGCAGAGCTTTGTGCCTGCACGGTCTTTTGTCTGGTTTTCCCTGCTGAGGCATGCAGACTCCATGGGAACCAGCTCTGTGCCAACTCTAGTGTGAGGGGGTGGGTATGGTTCGGGGATCTTGCCAATTTTGCACTTTGGGCCTAGGGCGGTAAGTCTACAGGCGTTTATCTGGGATTACAGCCCGAGTCAACAGAAGGACCGGGAAGTGAGCTCAGGGCCCAGCAGCACATGGACAGTTGGAGGTGTTTACTTTTCTCTTTGAGCAAACTTTGATTTACTCTTTAATAAGTCACCACCAAGGATGTGGTTCTGGAGAGGTTTGACTTGGCATTCAAATCCAAGGCACATATTGATAAAGGAGGAGCGGGAGAGGGAGTCTTACGTTGTTCCAGCTTTATTATTAACCCTAAGTTTGGAAATGGACTTGCTTTCAGAGTTGGTTTCCAGTGCATGGGCAGATATTGGTTCCCAATTGACAAGGTCCTTTGATATCCTTAGTAGAAGTACGTTGTGACCAAGTGGCACATAGTAATGTTGACATCCTTGGAGGAGCAACCTTGATTTTTAGACAGGTTTGGTTTGGGTCTCCGCTGTGTCATATGGTGATGCCACTTGGGGAATTCCTTTATTTGCTTAGCCTCAATTTCCTCATCTGTGAAATGAGAGTAATCAAAGAAACAAACAAAAAGCGAACTCATTGGTTGTCAGGAATTCTGTAAGGAGACAAGTGTGAGGGTCAGATGAGTGGGATATATTTGGTTTAGCAAACAGTGTTACTTATTGCATCAGTCATTTTTATTGTGTGGAGACAGTTTGTTCTCTCTTTTCAGAACTATCTGCAGGACAACAGTTGCATAAAGTGTGCAATGAGGATAATCCTCTTCGCATTTCCTATGTGGGTCCACATGAGTGGATGAAGCTGCCATTCAAGGACTGATTAAGAGAGTCCTTGCCTCCCAAGCCCTGGATCCCAGAGGGTCAGAGTGAGGTTTACTCTCCTCTATGCTGACAGCATTTCCTCATTAAATGCAATCATCTGCAAAAAAGAAGGTAAATATTGAGAAGGAAGAAGAGGCATGGAGACCCTTCCATGCCTGGGGTGACCCTGAGTTCCAGTTATGACCTTGACAATCTATAGGACACACCACGAGGTCCCTCCAGAGGAGGAAGATCATGCTTTTCTGGGTTTCCAGCAGGTCTCAGTGCTACTGCAGTGGAGACATGAACCAGGTGCAGATCACTCTCTGTGGCAGAGGCATCCGAAGTGGGGTGTCACCCAGGAAGGTCACCTCCAAGGGTGCAGGGCAAGCTGGTCTTGGGTGCCAAAGTAAGAAGCATGTTGTTTTTGGAGAGTTTAAAGACAATAATCAAACTTACTCAGGCTAGTCTGCTTTTTAAAATTTTAATTACCATGCACCAGTAATTCAAAAGGCTCCAAGTGATAAAATCTGCGTTCTCTGTCCAGGCAGCTGGGCCAGTCCCTGTGCTCCTCATGTGTGCATTGGGTGCATGTGTGCATGTGTCCAAAGAAAAGAGACCCGGGGAATTTATTTCTTCTCACAAACAAAACAAAACAAACAAACAAACAACAAAAAACCACCACCAACAAAAAATATGTAGCAAATAGATCCTGAAGAGTCCTCATGGGCTCCAAAAAGCCATGCATGAGAAAGAAAGATGGAGTAGGTCTGGAATGGGACCTTGGATGGAGTTGCATCACCACATTCCCTTTGGAGGGGTTTGGGAAGCAGACCTAAAGCCAGACCTGGAGGTGAAGGGGTGACAAAGATGACAGCATTCCCACTGTGAGGATATCTTCTCCTTCTGCCTCTACCTGCAGAAGCGTCCCGACGTGCCCATTCTTTCTGCCACTTCCGATAGCAGTCAGGGTAGAGACGCCTGCTTGCCAGCAATGCCAGTGCATCTCCCAGTCACAAGCACCTGGTGAGATAAACAGACTTATGTTCATTTTTAATAGATGAGGAAATCAAGGCTCCGAAGGGGGAGGGGCCATCTCTGATTGGGAAACTATGAGTCTGGGACTTGATAGCCCCCAAATTTGCTGCACTTACACCTCACTGCATTCAGAAGCCTCAGAGGCTCGGGTGAGGCCTGCTAAGGAGGCAGCAGTGACCATTTCTTTAGAGTCATTTTGGGGATGCACCGTTTGTGACTTCTTTGTCCTGGCTCAGCAAGACCCTAGAGGGTCATCTTTGAGAGGCCTTGGAGTGCACTGTGCCAAACAGGCAGACTTCCCCAAGGCCTTTGCCAGAGGGGCTAGGGGATCGCAGCCTGTTCTGCAGAGAGGCAGATCTAGTGTTCTGTGTTTAAGGCAGCCCTCAAAGTACTCCTTGATTACTGGTTCCTGGAACCCTTTCTTGCCCCCTCAGGGCTCAAGGCTAGAGAAGAGAGGCCTTCGAAAATGCGGAGATGTCCTTTGGTGGAGTCCCTCTGCTGGGACAGAATCTGAGGTGACAAAAGAGCCTCATTGTCACTCTTCATGGCTGTCCACCAGTTTCTGGGCTGCAGGGCCTGCATGAGGGAAGGCTAACTTGCAACTTCATGCAGGCCCTGATGGCCAGAGACAGGCAGAGAGGGGTGATCAAGGTGCCTGACAGTGGTCCACTGTTGTCCCTGCCTCCCTTGGAGTTTGGGTTTTTCCGGATTTGAGAGCTGTTTGCCTTAGAGAAAGAAGAGCTGGTGGGTCTGGGTCATTTACATGTCACCCTGTACAGTATCTGCCTTTGTTCCAAAGAGCAGTACACATGAAAGGCTTCAGGGAACAGGGACAGCCAGGCAGTGACCTGCACAGGAAATTGGAAATTGGACACCCAAGGTCGCCCCCACTCCTCTGACTCATGCTTAAACAAACCCCACACATGCTCTGACCTTTGCTCCCTGCAGCTGTAGCAGGCCAGGCCCTACCTGCCCGTAGCCCCCCTTGCCTGCCTTGCCCAGGGCCCATGAAAGGCCAGCGCTGGGCCAGCTTCCGGGAGGACAGACTCCTTCAGATCCAAACTAAGGCTAGGTATGCAACAGCCCGTGACTTTTTATCTTCCACAAAGTGAATTTTTAAAATTTTTTTTCTTCCATTATATTCATCAACGCAGAAGAGATGGAACATTTGGCAAAATTATTTTAAGTAGCACTCCAACCTGTGATCATCATTTCAAATCAAGGAATTTGCTGAGCAGCTGTGGGGAAGAACAAAGGACCTGGGAGTGATTTAGGGCCTGGGGGAAGGGAGGCTGCTGGTTATAAGACCTGAGCTGTAGCAGCAGCAGCAGCTGGGGAGGTGGGTCATGTGCACCCCACAGGGCGGCAGCCTTTTTGGCCCCACTATAGGTTTACACATTCCTTATTAGAGTGTTCACTGCTGAACACACTACACGCAGTACATTTTACACAGATTGGGTAAGGGACTGAGATTCAATTTAATACCCCACCTGAGAGGTTCAGTTCAGGAATCAGACAAACCTGGCCTCCAGTCCTGGCTCTGCTGCTCACCAGCTTCTGCAAAATCATCTGTAAATAGGGATAATCGTACTGTATCAGTCAGCTTTCCACCACTATAACAAATGCCTGAATTAGTCAATTCATGAAAAGAAAAGATTTACTTTGACTGACAGCTTTGGAGGAGCCAGGGCATGCTAGATTAGCCTCTTTGGCGTGGGACCGTGGTAAGGAAGCACATCGTGGTGGAGGTGCATGGCAGAGTAAGCACCTGCCTCATGGCTAAAGGAGAGCAAGAGGAAGGGCTGGGTTCTCTTATACCCTTTCAAGGTGTGCTGCTCAGTGATCTCCCTATAGCACCATGCTGCAGAGCAAGCTTTATCCCATGGGCCTTCAGGGGAGATTACAGAGCCAAACTGTTGCACATGGCAACCACATCATAGATACTATTATGGGAACATATGTGAAGTGCATATCTGACTCCCTCACTGGTACATGGGAAGTCTTCAGAATGGTGGTATTATCCCCAGGATGCAGATAAATCCAATTTACATGCTTGGATTTTGTAACTGACTCATTCAACAAGCACCTATCAAGTACCTGTTATTTCCCAGGTGCTTAGCTGTTAATAGTGAAGCAAGTGTTTCAAACGTGGGGAATAATATGCTATTAGAGAGGCAAGAAATACTTCTATTGAGTTAAAAAGTCACAGTGTCTTCCGAGGATATTTAAGTAGTTTACAAAAGTATCTTGCGTAACAGATGGTCTGCTAGAAACAACTTGAAAAAATGTACAGAGTTAAAAAAACAAAAAGAAGGAAGTAATCTTATTTCTGTTTAGGAACTTACTGCTTTTCAATACAACTGTTAGCTAAACTAACTTAATTTCTTAAAAATGAGTCTTGCTTTATACCTGGGAATTTCAGTGAGTCTGTAGATTTTCTGGCCTATTTGCAAACAATGTGGTTCATCTGAGTGCCTTTCCGTGACACATGTGTTCTCAGACAGGGTTGCAGTGGCCAGGGATTATCCAGTTCTGCTACATTACCATCGTAAGAATCAGAAGGCAGTTAGCCCAGCTTCTCATCCCCTTCATAGCATTTCTGATAGGAAACGTTGAGCTTCTGCTCAGACCCTGCTAGGAAAAGACTGATCACTACTTTTAAAAGTAGGTGCTGGCCAGATTGAACATCCCTAAATGTTTAAGATGGAATAATGACTAGGAAATAAATTTGAATGAATTTGGGTAGCTCATCTAAAAAGTGAAAAAGCCTTTTTGTTCTTTCATCCTGGTCTCCATGGCTGTTGTTTGGCCTTGTTTTGACCAGTGATCCAGCTTGTCTTTTACCCCAGCCTGCCACCTGCCCTCTGTCTCTAGGGACACCAGTAGCCCTGGTCATTGTTGGAAGCCCAAGCCTACCACGCCTTCGAAGTCTGGGGCCAACATTCAGCCCAGTTGCTCCTTGGCTGTTCTCTAGGGTGGCTTACCCCACCTCTTTTTTCTTGGAAAACAACAGTGATCTTTGTTCAGCCAAAGCCCTATTTCCCAAACTCTGATATTTGTTCCCCAGCCCTCCTCCCTCCAGCTGCTCCCAACTGCTAACCACGTCTTGCGCACACCACTGACTGCTTCCTCTCTTCCCGCACTTCTTGGAAGGCAGCCACAGGGGCCAGGGCAGAGGGAGGGCCAGGCCTGCTGCTGGTGGCTGGGGCCTGCAGAGGCTGGCTCCACCCCCTGCCCTACCCTGAGGGTAATATTGGGAAAGAGGTGTGTGCTGCCTGTGAGGTCAGAGGGCCAAATGCAGGACTAACTGTGTAGCTCTGCAAAACCCAGGGTGGCTGTCTGCAGAATTTAGTTAGAATTTAAATAAAAAGATGGCCAACTAAAGCAAAAAGCCACAAGTGATAAAAAGGAAAAGTTTATTTTTGGAACCCTTGGTTCTAAAACTCCTTTTGACTGTCTGTCCTCTTTGCCTCTCCCATTGTGCAAACCTTATTCTTTATTACTTGATTCTCTGATCCTTCTTGGGCCCTAGGCCCTTAAACCTTCCCTTGCACTCCTATCCCTCTTTTTCTTCTGTCACTCAACCTGTTACACCCTAAATCTGACACCAGTGGACAACATGGCTTCCTAGAGTGGCTGGAGAAAGCTGTACCAGGATGACTCCACCACAACAGTCCCACTGGCTCACCCAGCTGGCTCCACTCCATGACATAACATGAGTTTTGATTGGCTTGAGGAACCATTCAAATAATTTTATTTAGTTACCAACATTTAAGAAACAGGAATGCACCAGAAAAATCTAGATTCCTAGTTTGATCTGAGAAGCTAGAGAGCGGCAAGACAGGATCTTCACGTACTCTAGAGTAAGAGGCTAGAAGCAAGGGGCCTCCGCACCTCACCTGCCACACAGAGTGCCCTGCCAACACCTGTGCAAGGACAGAGTCCCTCTGATGGACTGCGGCACTGAGAATTAGATGCCATTCCCCCCACCCTCAAACCACTTCCTGTCCAGTTCTTCTGGGGTCAGTAGAGTTTTCCCAGCAATCATTTCCCTGCCTTTAATGGACTCCTAGTCCAGCATGTTCCTCTTGGGG